CCCCCCCGCGCAATTGAAGCATTCGAGGAGCAGAGGCTTAATTTGGATCTAAGTTCCTCAAAGCATTTGATCGGTAATGGCTTGGTAAGTATGTCCACTGGCTGATCAGCGGAGTAGATGTGCTGTACTTGAATTGCGCCATTGTTGATATACTGACGGATAAATTGGTTATCAATCTCAATGTGCTTGGTCCGAGCGTGGAAGACAAGATTAAGAGCCAAGGCTAGCGCGGAGGTGTTGTCACAATGGATGGATGTTGGCGACATTGGTGAGACCTGCAAATTTGTTAGTAGGCGGCGGAGCCAAATGACATCGGAGGTGGCCGATGCTAGAGCACAGTATTCCGCATTAGTGGATGATTTAGCCACTGTGACCTGTTTCTTGACACACCATGATATAAGGCTTTTCCCTAGGAAAGTACAGAAGCCAGTGATGGATTTGTTTATCGAGAAAATCGCTAGCCCAGTCAGCATCAGAATAACAATTGATTTGAAGAGAACCAGCGGATAATGGGAGCCCGAGACTGATTGTTCCATGAATATAGCGAAGGAGACGCTTTAGAGCAGTATAGTATGCATTAGTGGGGATGTGCATATGTTGACAGATGCTATTGACTGTATAGGCTATATTCGGGCGTGTAATTGTGAGGTAATTTAGAGAGCCAGCGAGACGCCTGTAATGTGTGGGATCAGAGAGTGGTAGGTGGTCGTCTGGATGAGAAGTTGACTTGGAGATTATAGGGGTTGATACCGGTTTGCTGTGCTGTAGGTCGGCTGAGCAAATGATGTCATGGGCATATTGAGTTTGATGCAATAAGAAGCCTGATGCTTGCTTCTTGTATGCCCAGAAAGTTGTTGATTTCACCCAGCTGTTTGAGAGGAAATTCTTGATCAATTTTGAGTGATGAGCTGATGAATAATGGTTTGGTTATTACCAGTGATGAGTAGATCATCCACATAGATGAGTAGGAAGATTTTAGTATCATGCCGTGTGAAGCAGAAGAGAGAGGGATCTGCCTTACTGAAAGAGAAGCCGAATTTGATCAGAGAGGAGGTGAATTTGTTGTACCACTCTCTTGGTGCTTGCTTCAGGCCATAGAGAACTTTGTATAACTTTCACACAAAGTGAGGATTGTCCCTATCGGTGAAACCAGGGGGCTGAAGCATATAGACGTCATCGTGTAGATCTCCATAAAGGAAGGCATTGGAGATATCAAATTGGAGCACTGGCCATTGATATTGAAGGGAGAGTAGTAGAAGCACCCATATGGTTGGCAATTTATCCACTGGGCTAAATGTCTCCCGGAAATTAATGCCAAGGCCAAAGCCTTGAGGCACTAACCGTGTTTTGTAGCGATCCACTTCACCATTTGGTTTATGTTTGATTCAAAAAGTCCATTTGCAGCCAAGTACTTTAGTACGTGGAGGAGGGGGTAGTATAGTTCATTTGCCTTGCTTTTGGAGAGAAAGAAACTCCGCGCTAACTGCTTGCAAGATCTCCATAACAAATTTTATATAAAACATTGATTGTAGTGCAGCCAAATTCATACAAACAAAACTTACATGAAATTTCATCCCTAGGCTTAGGCTTTTTTTTGGATGGCTTTCTTACTGCTTTAAGAAGTAATAAAAAGTAGTCCCAAATGAAGCCCAATGATTCGTTTTGGACGACTTATTTACTGCTTCTTAAAGCAACTTTATAGTATACAAATTTTAATTCTTATAATAGAGCATTGCTTTAAGAAACAATAAGAAAGCCGGCCTAAACGAAGCCTAAGCCTTCTCTTGGAACATGAGCTTCCTTACTATTTTTTAAAACAACTTCTTACAATAAAAAATTTAAGTTTCGTACTTGAAAGCTACTTTAAAAAGCAATAAGAAAGCTGTCTCAAACGAAGTCTTAGTCATCTATTCGTCAACACAAAGTGTTTTCTTATTACAGTAATTTTGTTTTATTTTTTGATTATCACAAATCTGAGAACACCTACAGAAATGGTTAGAGGAAGAAGAACGGTAAAAGTTGAAGAATAGAGAATTGGAGGAAACTCATTTCTTAATTTATCATCATAACATTGTAGTACATAGCTTGTGTATATATAGGTGGACTGAGCTCATGTGCTCATGATGATTAAGCTGTTGGCTGTAGACCTTGGCAGAGTAGTGGGAAGACCTGTAATGAGTAAGTGAGGTGTGCTATGCCTGCAGTGCATCTAGGTGCTAGCACTAACATCCCCCCCCCCCTCCCGCGCAATTGAAGCATCCGAGGAGCAGAGGCTTAATTTGGATCTAAGTTCCTCAAAGTGTTTAATCGGTAATGGCTTGGTAAGTATGTCCACTGGTTGATCAGTGGAGCAAATGTACTGTACTTGAATTGCGTCATTGTTGATGTGCTGACGGATAAATTGGTTATCAATCTCAATGTGCTTGGTCTGAGCGTGGAAGATAAGATTAAGAGCCAAGGCTAGCGCGAAGGTGTTGTCACAATGGATGGATGTTGGCGGCATTGGTGAGACCTGAAAATCTGTTAGCAAGCGGCGGAGCCAAATGACATCGGAGGTGGCCGATGCTAGAGCACGGTATTCCGCCTTAGTGGATGATTTAGCCACTGTGACCTGTTTCTTGACACACCATAATATGAGGCTTTTCCCTAGGAAAGTACATAAGCCAGTGATGGATTTTTTTATCGAGAAAATCGCTAGCCCAGTCAGCATCAGAATAATAATTGATTTGAAGAGAACCAGCAGATAATGGGAGCTCGAGACTGATTGTTCCATGAATATAGCGAAGGAGACGCTTTAGAGCAGTATAGTATGCATTAGTGGGGCTATGCATATGTTTACAGATGCTATTGACTGCATAGGCTATATTCGGGCGCGTAATTGTGAGGTAATTTAGAGAGCCAGCGAGACGCCTGTAATGTGTGGGATCAGAGAGTGGTAGGTGGTCGTCTGGATGAGAAGTTGACTTGGAGATTATAGAGGTTGATACCAGTTTGCTGTGTTGTAGGTCGGCTGAGCAAATGATGTCATGGGCATATTGAGTTTGATGTAATTAGAAGCATGATGCTCGCTTCAGAACTTGTATGCCAATAAAGTTGTTGATTTCACCCAGCTATTTGAGAGAAAATTCTTGATCAATTTTGAGTGATGAGCTGATGAATATTGGTTTGGTTATTACCAGTGATGAGTAGATCATCCACATAAATGAGTATGAAGATTTTGGTATCATGCCGTGTGAAGCAGAAGAGAGAGGGATCTGCCTTACTGAAAGAGAAGCCGAATTTGATCAGAGAGGAGGTGAATTTGTTGTACCACTCTCTTGGTGCTTGCTTCAGGCCATAGAGAGCTTTGTATAATTTGCACACAAAGTGAGGATTGTCCCTATCGGTGAAACCAGGGGGCTGAAGCATATATACGTCATCGTGTAGATCTCCATAAAGGAAGGCATCGGAGATATCAAATTGGAGCACTGGCCATTGATATTGAAGGGAGAGTAGTAGAAGCACTCATATGGTTTGGCAATTTATCCACTGGGCTAAATGTCTCCCGGAAATTAATGCCAAGGCCAAAGCCTTGAGCCACTAACCGTGCTTTGTAGCGATCCACTTCACCATTTGGTTTATGTTTGATTCGAAAAGTCCATTTGCAGCCAAGTACTTTAGTACGTGGAGGAGGGGGTACTATAGACCATGTGCCTTGCTTTTGGAGAGCAAGAAACTCCGCGGACATGACAGCTCTCCAGTGAGGGAGTTTGTTTGCTTGAGAGTAGGAGGTTGGTAAAGGTCTGTGGAGGGAATAGTGAGGAGATCGAATATTCATTTGGCGCAGTGAATGCCGGCTTTTAACCGGGTTCGCATGGGATGAAGAGAGGCGATGAATCAATTGGAGATTGGAGTAGAGGGACGAGATGTTGAGGGTTGTGGGGAGGAATGGTTGGTGGGTTGTGGTGGCGGTGAGGGAGTATGATTATGTAAGTGTGGTGTTTATGTGGATCGGATCTGGTGGTGATGTGGAGGGGATTGAGGTAGGTAGCAGTAAATATGGGGAGGATATTGTTTCCTGAGGTGTGGTAGTGGGGTTAGGAGTATTGCTGATCAAGGCATAAGGGAATGAGTTTTTATGAAATTGCACATGGCGGGAAATGTAGAGATTGTTTGTTTGAAGATTTAGGCAACGATAGCCTTTGTGGGAGGGGAGTACCCCAGAAAAATACAAGGTTGTGAGCGGGGATGAAGTTTGGACGGCATGATTGGATGAAGCCATGGGAAGCAAAGGCATCCAAAGGTTCTGAGATATGAGTAATCGGGTGGGAGACTATAGAGAAGCTGATATGGAATTTTGTTATCGCAGGCTCTAGTAGGTAATCTGTTGATGAGGAAATTGGATGTTAGTAGAGCTTTAACCCAATACTGGTGTGGTAGATTAGCTTGATGTAGAAGAGTTCTTGTTGTTTCTAGGAGGTAACGATGCTTCCTTTCAGCTGTGCCGGTTTGTTCGGGAGTGTAGGGACAGCTGAATTGGTGGGAGATGCCATATTCGGTGAGATAGGAATGAAATGCTGTGCTGATGAATTCTCCACCGCCGTTCGATCGGAATTGTTGAATGTTGGTTTTGAATTGGTTAATAATTAATTTATGGACTTGCTGAAACTTGGAGAGAGTTTCAGATTTTGAATCTAAAATAATGTTGTGTGCATTAAATAAATCCATGAAAATTGAGTATGATCATCAATAAAAATGACATATAATCTAAAACCATCTGTAGAAGAAAGAGGTGCTGGACCCCAAATGTCAGAATTTATTAACATAAACAGTTTGGTTACACGAGAGGAGGTAGAAGAGAAAGACAACTTATGGCTTTTGGCCACATTACAGGACTGGCAGACATAGGAGGATAAAAGACTACATATTGAAGAAAAAAGTTTAGCTAGTTGTTGTTGAGTTCGGGTGTGAGAATGGCCGAGTCTGGCATGCCAGAGAGCTGAGTTGGAGGCTGAGGTGTGAAGTGTGACGGGGGAATTTTTTGATGATGGAGAGACCGTGTAGAGACCATTACGGTTGTGTCCACGGATGAGAGGGCGGTTATCCGTAAGATCCTTGATTAAGAAGCCATGAGAGTCAAAAAATATAGAGTAGTTATTATCAGAAGCAAGTTTATGTATTGAAAGAAGGTTATGAGAGAGCTTTGGAACATAAAGAAGCTGGCAAAGATAGAGCTTATGATTCGAGTCGAGGAGGGGTAGAAGGCCTTGACCAGTGTGATGAATGGGGAGGGAGCTGCCACAGGCTGTGGAGATGGTCTCTGTCCTGGTAGGGAGCTGATTGCTGCAGATTGGTGATGTCGGGAGTGAGGTGTGTAGATGCTCCGGAGTCAAGGACCCACGCATTGAGCGAAGTGGGTTGCGAACTAGTCAGCAGAGCCTTTGGTGTAGCATTGGATGGTACAGTGTAGTTTGCATTGTAGCGATGCCAGCACGAGGAGGCAATGTGGCCTAGCTTTCTACATATTTGACATGTTGGTCTGTTGGTGTCACTGCGA